AGACAGAAGAGTAATCACCACCAGTTGAATGTCTCCACATATTAACAACATTTAAACAACATTTTAGTACTTTAACCAATACTAAAAATATCTTGGTTCATGTGTTAGTGGCTAGTTTGAATATATATATATTTGGGGAATGTTAAATAGATCCACCCTTGATGAAGTGTATGGTAATCATGATGAATTTGGTTGGTTTTTTATTGATTCCAGATCTAATAGAGAAATAAATTTAGAAATTGCTTTTTCTTTTTCATTTTTTTATGGTGGCTAGGATGGGTGGGTTGATTTAGTAAAAACTTGACTATATTCAATATTCCCCTACATGTACATATCCACCACTTTTGTGCTGAGACTGTAAAAGGAACGTCACGTTCCTAGTGGGCTGATATCCAATCCGAACACAAGCGAACGAACTGAGAAACGAAACTAACGAAATCAAGATGAATGTGGGTCAAGCGATGATGAACAAGTTATTCACTGTGGAAGGGATAGTTCATCCATCCATCCATACGTGCTTCCGTCAGCCCTAATTATTTTTGGGGGGGAGATCACGAGGAGGGCGGAGAGTATTGGAGTGGGCTGGGATCACGCATTCGAGATGCAGCGGAGCCTCGGCCGACGTCGAGGTTACACGCTTATTTGGTGGGCAGCAGGGCCATGGCTCATGCGTGACCCTCCATGCTGCCCCCGATCTCTCTCTCTCTCTTCAGGGCCATAGCTTAAGATATCTATCTATCTTTGGATTGCTGGATGGGCTAAACTCTTCAGCCAGCTCTCGTGGAGTGGTCCCAGCTTCGCCACCACACACTCACACACCCCCTACGACTATGAGGAGGACTCTCCGAGCTTGACTACGGCGACCTTTGCACTAGATCCGGCCGGTGCAAGTGGTGGGTGATGGTCGTGGGTTTGTTGTACTTTTGTTAAATTTGTAGATATTATTTATGGGTTTAGTTGGGTAAGATAGACATTTGCACTGTGGGGAGGAGGTGTATGAGAATGGTCGTCACCGAAAGCACGGTTTACTTAAACACCGAGACTTGACTTTGACCAGGGATTCTTTCACCGTTGCCGAGAGTGACTTCCTCCTCCTCCTCCTCCTCGTCGTCGTCGTCGTTCCTGGTCAATTGTACTTCTTTCTAGTTCCCTTCCCCTTTTCCCGCATTG